GTTACTAACTTTAACATTTATGTTTTTGTTATGAATGACCATTTTAAAATATCAGATAAATATTTCTTGCAATTCTACACAGAAAACTTATCGCCAAGATCATTTTACAGGTTTCTTACTGTCATAAATATAAATAGATATTTAAACTATTTAGGTATTACAGATTATTCAAGTATAATGATATATTTAGAACTGTAGTAGTAAGCAAAGTTTGATAAATAAAATAAAAATACTTTTTAAATCTTCTGAAAATATCACTTACTTATCACCATATCAACATTAACACCAGCATTCATAAGGACAGGTCTGTCAGATAACTTTGTTTCTGAAACCAGACACTTAGATAAACAAAAGATCAGAAACCCTGTACTAAAGTGAAGGACAATCCTACATGCTCTCATTGCACTCCCAGATCACTTACCAACCACAATATAACCCAAGAAAAGAGGGCTTCAAGGTCAATCCTCTTTCCCCTTTCCCCAGAAAGCAAGACAAGCTGGTTCACTCCACAATCTATCAAAAGAATTAATCAGGATGACTACTAACTACAAAGGAGGAGGAGCTCTCTCTCTCTCTTTCAATGTAGTGAAAAGCTACAAACTCTGTCTTACAAGAAGAATACAAGTTTGTATTTGTATACAAAGAAAAATAAACCTTCCAAAACAATTTTTGCTAAGCGGTCATTCATTTTGAGTGTAAAAATCAACATTCTGCATCAATCTCTATAGAACTAAGAGACTGAATGATTGTATAGGGTTTTTTTTAGTATTTAGCATTATGGCTATTACAGATTTTAATTAAAACCTGGCCATTATTTGTAAATCTCAATATATATATATCTTATTACAAAAAATAACATTTATAGTAATAAGAAATAATGTTGGATAAAATAATCCTTTCAAATATATATATATATATATATATATATTTTTTGAAAGGATTCATATATATATATATATATATATATATATATATATATATATTTTATTCAAAAAATATAACATAAATATGTTATAAAATCACTACAAAATTAGCCATCCCTTGATAAGACACCAGAAGTGTTGAAACAAAATGGCTATTTTTGTAGTGATTTTATAATATATTTATGTTATAATTTTCGAATAAATTATATTTGCTCTACTCTGTATTGAGCTGTTTTTTAAGAATAATATTTTGGGTTATTAAAATTTATTACATATGCACCAATCCTATACTTGGAGAGATATATATATATATATATATATATATATATATATATATATATATATATATATATATATATATAGGTTTGTACAGGGCATGGAAACCATGAAAAGTCCTGGAAAAACAGTAATAGCCCAAAAGCTCCTTGAAAATCTTGGAATTTTCTATATTGGGCTTCCCACACACACTTTTTCTCAATTCATGAAAGTCAAAATGCCAAATCCCAGAGATCTGGCTTTTTTACAAGCTAAACTTGTCCTTAAAGAAAAATGTTTTTACTTGTCAGTAATATCTAGCAATTATTGTGAATGGTGATTTGTTCCCTTGATTAGAATGAGTGCATGACCTCATAGTTACTTCTGTATTTTCTCAGCTAGGTGACGAGAAAGAAAAGGAGAAAAAACATGCATGTGTGTCTTCTAGGTGCTCAAAAAGAAAAGTGGAAAAGCAAAGATAAAAGGCATCAGAAACAAGTAAACATCTCTGTCACTGATAAATTAATTTACACACTTTGAATTTGTAGTTGAAAAGAAGATAAATTATTTTACAGTAATAAAATACATTTTTTAGTAGAATCTCAAAAAATTTATCAGTGTTTTTTTTTTTTAAATTTGAATACTTGAAGAGAATTTAGCAGTGGGTGAGTTTATGCTGAAAAATAGATATTTTACACAGAGTCAATGTGTGTCTATGTGTAAACTACATTTGTCTAAATTGTTGCCAAATGTAACAAGTTTGAGAATCAAATTTGACAACTGCACACCCAGGGAGGAGAGTTCATTTAAAAACAAAAAGTAAAAAACAATGACTATTTTATTTTAAATAGGCATCCATCACTACTGATTAGCTTCACTAATTTGGTGAGGATGTGATGTAGGATTATTATTATTATTATAATAAATGTAGATGAGAAAGATGTGCTTTTGATGTGTCTTAGGATAGGATAGAAAATAAATGAATGTTATTTTTAAAGTTTGCAGGCTAATAATGACCTGTAACTTTAGCTTTTGTTGTAAGTGTGAAAAAAAATGATGAAATAAAACTTATTTGGCTTGGCTTTATATTAAAATACATACCTCCAATTTTTCACTGAAAAGACAGCATACCATGATGAAAAGAGGCCCCAAACTTAATAAAAACCAAATTTTATTGTTACTATTAAAAAGAAAAACTAAAGTATTTTTTTATCATTTTAAATTTTTTAATCCTTTCTAGTACATTCAAAATTTTGGTTTTTGCATTACATTATTTATGCTTATGTTAGTGTTTTACCGCCTTTTTGAAGGTGAAAAACACAGTGATTTGGAAATTCTTGCAAAAAATATATTAATTGTCAGATTATAATGAAACTTTCAGGATTTATTCACAAATTAATGAAATTTTAAAAAAAAAATTTTTTCAGAAAATTTAGGTAAAAATATTTTTTCTATATATGTTACTCCCACTTAATTTCATGAAATTTCGAGAAATTAAATTTTCATTTGAAATTTTTTTTATTAGTTAAAAGCAGGTCTCATGAAACTGTTAAGATTTGTAAAGGAAGAGCAAACTAAAAAGATAATTACATTTTTAAAACTGAATGAATTTGTAAGAGACCCAAGCATGCATAAAAATGCTGCAAATATTGAGTATGGATTTCTGGCAGATAGGGCTATGCAAAATTATCCAAAAAAGGAAAAGATTTGTTTGCATGCAGAATTGCAGCAAAGACAATGTTCATCACTATCATTGAGAAACATCTGGTGAAGTCTCTCCCTTATATACCCTCTTGTAAGGTCAATTGCTTGTCTGAACCCTGAATCCATTTGTGAAAAACAAATTACCACAGAAGACAGTCTAAAAAGATGTCTTTCCTGTATGATGGACAGAAAACAAACCAGCAAGTCTGATTGTAATGACATCATCAGTCAGTACAAAGAGTTTGAGGAGGAGGCTGATGGAAATATTGCTTTCAAGAATTTCAGCAAGCATGAAGACCGTCTGGACACTTTGTTCTACTCTTCTTTGTCTAGCAACAAAGAATATCAAAAACTATGGAAAGTTGTTCACAGATTGTTGATGGACAGGGCTAAAATGTATAGTCTTTTTGTGAAAATTTCTATTTGTAGTTCTGTTCATTAAAACCATTATACTTAACTTCACATGAAATGCGCAGCAATCACAAACCATAGAATAGTCTAGGTAACTGAAATGCATACCAGGATGAATTAAAGTGTGTAATTCAAAATCTTCAAGTGTAGTAGAACTACAAACTGTGTAGAATGCACACAAAATGTGTAACAAAACCAGGTGTACATTCTGTTGTGTTTCACTGTTTTCAACTGATCCATGTGACATGATTGGAACTAGCTGTAGCTTTTCTTTGAAGATCTCATCTATCAAACTCTATTAAAAGATACATCACAAAGTTTGTGTTTTTGAAATTGATGACCATTCACTGTGTGTGTGTGTGTATCAGTTTCAATCCTTGAAACTTAACATAGTCCTGGAAAAGGATATGCAAGTATATATCTTTTTTAAAGGATTTTTTTACTAACATTATTTCTTAGTAATATAAACGTTATTTTTAGTAATGTGTGTGTGTGTGTGTGTGTGTGTGTGTGTGTGTGTGTGTGTGTGTGTGTGTGTGTGTGTGGCACATTAATGTGCCACAAAAATAGTCTCCACACTTAGAGCATTTTCACTGTTACATTACATTCAAACATATTTTCAGAAAATTAAGTTTATATATTAGCTTCTTTTAAGTCACATTCTAATTGTTTCTTTTAATTTCAATTCATTTAAATTTCTCATTGTCTTTTAGGTACTGTATCAGTATTCATGTTGAGAAAAAAATCTCTTTATTCTTTTACTGCAGTAAAAAGAACATGTCTTTCAAAGAAAATTTTGTTAACCTGAAGGCAGTGAGCAATTTAGCCATTGGAAATATAAAGAAAAACAAAAGGAATTTGTCTGAGAAAAGCAATTAGTAGTATTAATTTAAAAGAAAATTCAATTAGTTGCATGATTTAAATTGGCTTTTATGCACTGATGAGTTAGCAATTTCTGTCTGTCTTTCCCTTTATCTCTCTCTTCATCCATCTTGAAGAATTTGTATATTCATTAACGTAGAGTAATATTATATTGGAGACTATGCATTAAATAATTTAGATAATTTACATATTTATTAATAATCCATATCAGAGATCTGAATTGTTTTGTTTATTCTCTCTACTACTAAGTTTTGGAAGACTCAAGTGCATAGCAGCTTATTTAAATTGAGATTATATATCTAATTCTGTATCTTTTTACACAAAATCAAAACTGATTTCTAAATGCTCTAAAACTGATTCCACTGATTCTTGCAACAAAAACTTTGCATTATCAGAAAAAAAGAAACCCCACCCTTTCAATGTGGATTGTATAATTGAAAATAGATATAGAATGGATTGTCTGAAATGTTATGGAACAAGTTCAAAAACTTTTGTAAGAATAACACTAGGTTTTCATGGAATTAACATTTCTATAAAATGCAAGTTGATTAGCTAATCTAATTTTAATGAATTTAGACATAAATGAATTAAATTGATGTTTAGTTTCAATTGCATTTAGTTTTATTTCTGCTTTCCTTTGTAATAAATTACCTTTAGGAAAATTCTAATAACATTAAGATTGTATTGCTTTTAAAGATGGAATTTCCATTACAATTTTAATAGGAAAGACAATATAAACCCATTTCCAGTGTGGATCAATTAGCTGTTCATTTCTCCCTTGATGGCAACATTATTCACAAGGATTCAGAAGAAGCTCGGCGGCAGATGACAAGAGTTCAAATTCCAGATGGTTGGTCTAACTTTCATTTTTCTCTCTTTTTTTTTTTTTTTTTTTTTTAAAAATAAAACATCTCTGCATAGTAATTCAAAATTTCTAGTAAGATAGATAATTTAAAAATTAAATTGTTGTTTTCTTATCAAAAATTAAGTCCCATCATTAGGCCTTGGCTACTTGGATGAAAACTAGTGCTTGGAGAGATGGTGTTCTGTTTTAGCCAAAGGTAACTTAGCAAGTCTATATTAAATATCAACTGTTCAAATCCATACAAAATTCATTTTATATTTACAAGCTGAACTGACATTATAAGCCAAAATGAATATTTCTGATTGTGATAAAAGAATATTATTTCTTACCTTATGGTTGTTAGTCATAATCAACAGAATTGTTTTTACCAACAAAAGATGATGTGATTACTAACTGTAGCAAATTTTAAAACTAGAATAATATTGACCACCTCACTCTCCCAACAAAACAAATCAGTTTTTTAGTTACTATTCTCTATAGTCTTAACCATTAACATTTTATAGGTAACTTCCTTGCAGACAATTGTGTTTGTCAAACAACAGTGAGTTTGAATTTCAATTGTGTTGTCACATCTTTCTATGGCAACACCTGAAACAACCTGGAATTTTGCACAAATGCATTTTTTTCTTATAAGAATCTATCTTGCCTATTTATAAGTCTATCATATATATCATATTGAATACATTGAATATTGCTGCCACATCTAGTTTGGTGCTTCTGCTATACATTTAAAGATTCTAGATGAAATACAAAGAAAAATCTGCCATGTTATCAGTCCTGACCTGGCATCTCATCAATGTAACATAGCTTCCCTGTGTCTTTTCTATCAATATTTTCATGGTAATAGTTCTGATGAGCTTTCCTCTTTGGTACCTAAACATTATGAATTTAAACACAGTACTAGATTGGTGGCAAGGTCTCACCATTTTACAGTTGAAGTGGCTAGATGTAACTGTAAGTTCTATGCTAACAGTTCCTTCTATCAAAGTTCTCACTTGTGGAACTCTCTTCCAGCCTCTTGCTTTCAAGTTTGATCTTCAATGACTTAAATGCAATGTCAATCATTATCTTCTGTCTTAATTCCTGTTCTTTTATTGTTCTCACTCCTTAATAGTGTTTTTTTCTCTCATATTCTCTCACATTCAGTAACCCACTTGCATCTTAATGGCTTTATTGCCTTGTTTGGGGTGAAATGATTAAAAAAATACCTTTGAGAAAAGCATGAAGCCACTTCTTTCTGCACTCTGTCCTATTGCTAGACCTCTTGACAAAATGATTAGCTGCTGTTATGTCATGATGGTTGACCAAGAAAAAAGTGGATAAGTGAACACTTTGGCAATCCATTCTCTCATAACTACCTTCTCTGCTCAAACAGTAGCAATAAAAACCGTTACCTCCTCAGTCAACTTTGACAGAGGTCTAAATATAATGCTAAGAAAAAAAACATTTAAGCAATAACCACTTATAATAAAATTGAGTATATTATCAATTGAGAAATATGGACATGACATTACAACTACATAGCAAGAAGGACAGTGTAGATGAAAGCTACAAATTGGTGATGTCAAATCAATAAGTACAGAAGTTTATCCGGAAACTATCATAATAGATGATGGAAAATGTGATACAGAAATCTATATTAGAATGGCAAACAATGCCTTCCAAAAGCTAAACAAAGTTTTAAAGAATAAGAAAATTTCATTAGAAACAGAGAAATATGTGATATGGTAAACACTTCTGTTGAATCATATGCTATGTAATATCAATCTTCCTATGAAGCAGTGAATGCTGGACATTTTCCTTACATATGAAGAGAAAATTTGTGGCATGAAAATATTGCTGTGTAAAAAGATAATCCTCATATTAATTTCACAAGATGTGCACCACCCTTATTTATATTAAATAATGCTTCCCCACCTTTTTCAAATTTGTTGTTCTATGTAAGGATATTGAGAATATCATAGACAGAACATATGAACAATGAGGAAGTTTTGAAGAAAATGGGAAGAAAAAGGAGACTTGTTCTTAGAATGTGAAAGAGACGGTTGAAATTTCTGGGGCACATCATAAGAAAAGAGGGTTTGGAAAATTTGACACTCACAAGGACATGCTGAGAGCAAGTGGTGCAGAGAGAAACATTGAATAAATTACCTAACAAGTTTTTGTAAATTTAATAGTACAACATGGATTAGGAAGGATAGTAAAAGTACAAATATACTAAGAGTTACAAAGTATAGGAAGTTGTGAAGAGTCATGATCACCCAAATTATAAAGGGTCTTGGCACATAGACAAATAAATTCTAAAAATGCTCGTTATATTCGAGACTTCATAGACGCCGGTACAAGTAGTAACGCCTTCTAAAAATATCTGCACTAGTAATACTTGTTCAAGTAGTAATTGCCAAATAATATAATGATCAGAAGAGAATCATAATCCATATAGTAGTAGAGAGAGTGAATATATAGCAATAGTGGGTAATCAAGAAGAGTGAACTGTGATCGTATAGTCATCACGCTACTTCCTATTTATTCACTTCCTTTATGATCATGTGATCTACTTAATAATGGAATTGCTCATGTTACTCATTGGCAATCTAATTTCAGACCACAGTGTCAGCAATGACACTTACTTTTATACAACACCTCCCCTTGGGTCTTTGGTTTGATGGTTAGAAACTCTGTTGGCCTTCTTTTCCTTTTGTCATAAACCCTCGGTTGCACTATTTCTGCTGGTGTAGGAATGTTGAATGTGTCGTACAGGATTTCCATCGGTACTTCTGTTCAGGGATTTTTTAATTCGGTGAAACAATATTTTAGCTGGTTAATATATCACTTGTGCTCCCACTTTTTTTCTTGTATTATGTACGTCATTCTGCCAATATGTTTCTTAAAGATGCCATGTTGCCAAAATTCCTTCCCATCTGATATTTCCTGAAAAATGCTTTTATTTTCCAGGTTTAAAATAAGTATTTGTATATTCATTCTTTGATGTTCTTGTCTTGTGCTCAGGTAGTAGCTTATTAAAGACGGACTTGAATTTTCTAGTGAACATTAATTTTGCTGGTGATATTCCCAATATGGTGTTTTGGTTTAGCATAATATGGTAAACACTTCTGTTGAATCATAATCTCATCTGATTCCTCTCCCGCCAATTTCCTTAAAGTCCTCTTAAGCCCTCTTAACCGTGTCAACAAAGCGTTCTGCCTGTCCATTTGATCTAGGATGATATAGGGGAGTAGTAATGAGTTCATTTGCTAGTGATTTGCAAAAGAACTTGAATTCACTGGATGGGAATTGCATACCATTTTCAGACACGACTGAGTCAGGAATGCCAAATCTTGCAAAAATTTCATGGTAGTTGGTCTCCTGTATTTTAGTACTGCTGGCCATTTCGTAAAGCTATCTACTACTATTAGACAGTATGCTCCATTTATTGGTCCAGGAAATTAATATGAATTCTAGACCATGATCTATCAGTTGTCGGCCAAGGTTGAACTTTAATAAGTGGTGACTTTGTTGCCAGATCGCAACCTCTACATAATTTTACCAGATTTTCTATATCCTTATCCATATTCGGCCAGTAGGTGCAGCATCTCATTAGAGATTTCATCCTAGAAATCTTTGAATGTCTTCTATAAATCTCTTTCAACATTCGTCTTTGTAACGACGCTGGTATAACTACTCTCTCAGCATACATTAGTACATCATCGCACAATGAAAATGCACTAGTATTTCTAATAGTATTTATTCCTGTAGATTTTAATTTATCCTTCATTTTCATTATGAAGAGGTCATTTTCTGCTTTAATTTTTATTTCTTCCAATGTAATTGGAAACTCTCTCACAGTATTATATAATACGTTACTTATTTCGCTTTCAGCCCTAACGCTGCAATTACTGTGTCTTCTAGTGGTTCAATGCATCTTGGTACTGATCGAAACAAACCATCCGCATGACTTAGCTTCTTAGACAATAAAAATTCCATCTTGTAATAATAATTTAATAGGATTGTTCTCTAGTGCTGCAGTCTATTTGCCATATGTGTAGGTGAAATAGGGAAAAGGCCTGGGTGTAGATTAACAATTTAGCTAATGCACTAGTCATACATAGAAATAAATTCAACCACAATTTTGATTTTAAAAATCCTACACTCATAAAAAAAGAAAATAACTCACTCAGAAGGAAAATCCTAGAGTGTGCTGCCATTGAATATTACCCAAATATTAATCTACGACCAGGCTTTTTCCCTATTTCACCTTTCTTAACGGAATTACTACTCTCCCAAAGAAACGTACAAAACAATATCATGAAATCAAAAGAAAATGATTGAATCACAGCAATAATAACAATATCTCCACACGTGACAGTAATTGACGTAATTTTCAGTTAACAGTATGAAAATAGCGTTCTCTAAATTCTTCCAGTTACTAAGGACATTTTGTTTTTGTTATTATTAGTTACTTTGTTTAAATAAATTCATTTCATTTTTTGCCTTGAGAAAGTCCACATTAGACGAAACGTGTCGGCAACTATTAGAGTTTTCCTATTGTCATTTATATTTATAAATATTGTCTTTTCTACAAGTTAACTCTGAGAAATTTTCATATATATATATAAATATATATATATATATATGATAGGATAAAGTGGGAAATGTTTATTAATCTAGCATTTCACTTTTGTTAAAGCTTCATGAGATATAGAGAAATAGAAATTCTGGTATTCTTATTTTTTACATAAAATTCCCTAGTTATATCAATTACCTTAAATTAGAACACAGGGTGGAAATATAATATAAGGGTGCAAATATAAAAAAAATAATAGTTTGGGAATATATATCTAATGTACTTATAAAATGAAATTATATATACACACATGTTCACATTAATCGAGTACAGTAATATTGCATTGTATATGTGTATAGGTATATAAGGACAGTTATAGATAATGAGTTATGAGAATATTAAAAGTTGTTGCATATTATATTAATATTTGTAAAATCTATTTTGCAATCTCTTTTAATCGGGGTCAATGTGTTTGAGCAGGTGCTTACATCTATGGATACATTTAGACATCAATTCAGATCGTCATTTCCTCTGTAGCTAAATGGTATAGCATGTGAGGTGAAATGATGTTTCCACGTAGGATGCAGGTTCGATTCCTGTCAGAGGACACACATTTTCAATGAAATTTCTTGGACATTCAGGCCAGTAAATGTAATTAATTCTATTTATTATAAACAGAGCATTTACTTAAATAACTGTATCTATAAAAAAATAACGCATAAACAGAAAATATATTAAAATAATTGTTGGACTTAGTCCATTTCATTATATATATATATATATATATATATATATATATATATGAATAAAGACAAAAGGAAAACTTATCTTAATGCCTTTCATCCTCTGATGGACTTTATCAAGGCAAATATAAAGATTTTATTTTGCAAGAAGTATTTATAAATAAAAGGATAAATGTATTAGTTTTTCAAAATTGATAATTGACACTTTGATCTTAGGCAGTGTGCATAAATACTTTGACCCTAAATAGAGTTCTGATCATGAATTATCCAGTGATTTTTTACAGGTAAAATGCTAGTGAGGATGAATTGCCTATAGATTTATGAAGAGTAATTAACATACTGAATATTATTTATGTAATTGAACTTCTCCTTTGCATACAGTTTTCCAGCACCCTCAGTTCCAAGACCATGCTTGATTATCCATTTTAATAAATCATCAGAAGTCACATTATAACAATTCAATAATACATTTCTGACCCACTATTTTTCCCTCTTTTGTTTTCCTGTATCTCTACAGCATTGATTGTTGAATCTTATATTAAATTAAAATACACCACCACCTGTGGCTGCCTGGCGAATTAGACTGGTAATCACATAAAATTCAAATGCTTGCTTGTAATTTTGTCCAAATTAAAAGAAGCGCAGACCATCAGCTGCTGGAAAATCAGTGATACAGCTGTACTTGTTAAGACATTTTTGCCAATATATTGTTCAGCCTTCAATAGATTTATTCTATGAAAATAAAGGAAACCTCTCTACATTTTTCCATAGTAGAAAGGGGTTCAATTCTCTAAACAATATTTAGTGGATAATTAGGATAAGTTATCATAAATCAATATTTATCACTTTGTTTATAAGTTTACCTTTAGTGATATCTGTTTTCTTACCTGTCAAATGGTATGATCTCCTTTCATCAGCAGTTGCTGATGTAATAATTGAGGATGATGACAAGACAGTCACAGAATGCACTGAAAGTTTGGAAGGAGAATCTACTCGAGATAAAACAGAGGTAAGTGTTCATTTCTTACATCACTTTGATTTCACTTTCTTAATTTCATTTTCAAATATTAATGATTGAAAATAAAAATAAAAATCTTATTTTAATTTTTATAACATTTCAAGTACATTACAAACAAAAAATGCCATTCATAAAATTGTAATAATTTTAACCTGTTAATTTTATTATTTCTTTCTAAAAAATCTTAAGAATATTACCAAAAAATTAAAAACAACCTTCTCACTTGTGATAATCTACAAACACTAACCAAATTATCTAATTGGTCATATAATATTTTGTCCCATAATTGAAATTCTGAAAATATCAGAATTTATTCCAAAAGGAATTCTTTTGCTGTCTTGTTATAGTTGAATATTGACCAAAAACCTGTGTATTTTGCATTTTATGTTTAAATATGTTTTCTGTAGTGAGAAGATTAAGAATTATATGATATTTGGTAAAGACATTTGATCAATATATTCATCTGAAAGTGAAGTCTATGCTCAAAGAAATATTTCAAAGAAAGATCTAAAGAATATTACAGATTTCTGACTAAGATTTCTCTTTGAATAAATGTACAGTCTGAATAATCATCTTACCATATATTTGCTGACAATACATGTTTTATAAGGAATCTATTGATATAGATCTTGTCAGTAGAGATTAAGTTATATAGAAGTGTACAAAAGATACTCATCAATCAAAAACCCAACGTTCTAATCACAGCTGATTACAGTCATTTCAATGAATTAAAGCTTTCTTTACTTTGTACTTAATATTTCTTGGTATAATATATATAATAATGATTTGATGTATCAAGGTTTTATTAAATTAGAAAAATAACTTTGAGCTTGTTGTTTATGCTATGGAGTAATGAAGTGCATATGTCTTGAAGTGCCAGTCTTTGGCTATCACTTTATTGTAAAAATAAAATGAAAGAAATAGAAATTGTATTTACTATAAGGCACTCCTCCTCAGCAATATTTGCCTTCAGTTGCCAAAGAAAAGTATCTAAAGTCTTATTTAGCAATTTAATCTCTTATTAATTTCCAATGTCCAATCATTTAGTTAATATACTTGTTCTTTAACTAACCATGATAGTATAAACACTAATTCCAAGCTCATGAGTGGGAATATAGTAGGAATTTCATACTAGATGTTCATGGTGATCAGTTTATACATTTAACTGAAAATTTGTAACACTAAAAAATGTAGAAATATACAATGGTTTCAGTACAGCATATTAAATTTCAGTTATATCATATGGTTATCTTGGATTTTATGAAAGTAACATTGACAATTTTTACCTGTAGTTCTGATATGAGAAATGAATTAAAAAGTTTTTTTAAGATTAATAGACAAAGCAAAGAAATAAAATGCTAAAGAAGATGGATTTAAAATCATTGATTTCTGACTTAGAAGTAAGTTTTTATTCATCAACTTTACTGAACTAGATACCAAAATGAACCACAGGCTTTTTGATCAAGATAGATATTTTGCCATTGAGATGTCCTTAGTTTTCAGTTATTCTGTTTTGCTTTTATGACAAAAGATCCATATTTGATAACATTCACATGTTGCCAATTGTAAAATAAAATATTTTTTAATATTAATTTATTATCATTATCAATATAACAAATAAACTCTCACATTATAGAATAAATTGTTGTTCTATGACATGTGATCAGTAGTTGACTTAATCTTGTTTGCTTCTTTACTCTATGCTTTATTTCTGTTACAACCAATCTATGCAAATAGATAATATCCTATTTGTCAATCCTATTACATAAATAAATTTAATTATGTATTAATTTTTGTATTAAATTACATTTCAATGTATGTATATTTGTTAAGGCATTAAATCGCATCATTTTGATTTTTTTGACATTTGTCTTCATTTAATTTTTCCTTATTTTTAACAATACATGAATCCTCTTAAAGATTAAAGTTTTTTTTGTGTGATTAATGAATTTGAGTGGTAGAAATTTGCATAGAATGTTACTTTGATAATCATATAACAAAGGTCATTCATGACAACTGGTGGCAGGACAAGATGCAGGGAAGTTCAGGTTCATTCCTTTCACAAGAGAAAAAACAACATCTGCAGTTTATAGTCATGTTTAGAAACAATTGTCATTGTTCTATTTTCTGATCTTCAGATGACAATTTCTCATAACATGCCCACTATCAAAACAACAAAATGTTGCATAATAATTTGGTCTAATTAACAGCGTAATCAAATTGTTATTCTTTTATGAGTGATATATGAACACAGAAAAATGGTTTATTCTTTAACTAAAAATATATATTTAAAAAGTTCCAAATATAATAGAAAAAGAAACTATTAGTAGCCACACTATTTTTAACATATTTTATAGCCAAAGACCCTTTATGAGTAAAAAGTGAATAAAATAGTTCCACTATTTCTGAAAACTAATTATTTTAATTGATTACGATCTGACCCAATATCAGAAGGTTACCTTAAATTATTATCTAAAATATCTAATATTAGAATAATATACAAACCAACTATTTCATTATCCAGCTCTATATTTTAGGCAAATATTTTCTGCATAGTCCATGAAATTTATTCAGAGAAATATATTCAGTAATTATCCATTTGCAAAGGGAAAATATCCATAAAGCCACAACTCTCAACTCATAATTATTCTAAATTAACTCTCAGTCATAGTTTCTTTTTTTAAGCTGCAAATGTAAAGAATAAATGGAACAATGTGTAATGGGTAATTTGTTAATTGGTAGCTTGAGCTTGGATAATTAAGGATTGATTACTCTACTGAACTTTATCATTTTACATAATGTGGCACTTATTTGTACAAGAATAATATGTATATGACTTTTCTAGTGAATATTATTAATATCTAACAATAAATAAAAGTTGTTTAAAAATGCTAAATATTTTTTTATATATTTCACAAAAAATATATTGTGATTTTTTTTTAATTTATCAATCCTTTACTGTGAATTTTAAAACAATTTCTGAAAGTCTAAAGAATGATTGTTATCACTGCACTGGATATTCACAGCATTTTTTTTTACACACACACACACACACACACACACACAGATGGGTAAATTGTCGCCATTTTATATTTTTAAATTTGCGCATTTACGTTGTTTGTTTTTGTCGACTGCACAGTATAGTAGGGTCAGTTGGGCACCATATGTGAGAAAAAGATTACCATGACACAATCCACTCTGCTAGAAATTTGGAAATGGTATGCTGTACTGCTTGGCATTCACGCTGAAAGCTTCAATATGAACATTTCAGAGTATTTTGGTGTCGATCTGAGGACAGTGTAGAAGATTCGTAAAGAGTTGAATGAGTCTAATGGTGATTACAGAGGTATGGCAACTCGGAAAACTCACTCTGATCATTTTAAGAAAAGAACTCCTCAATTTGTTGGTGAGGGCCTCAAACTCAACATGAAGGCCTACATCAAGTGTCTTGAAGAGGTAGTGCTGTGCTGGGTCAAGAGGGTGGCTGCTGGAAGACCCTATGTCTGGCCACAGGACTCTGCACCATGTCATACAAGCAGGAGAATTCAGTCATGGAGTGGGACAATTTTTGCAACAACATCACCCCTTACATCTGGCCACCTAATTCCCCAGGCTGCAACCCCCTTGATTATTATGTATGGGGTGCAGTTGAGTGAAAGAAACAAAACTTCTTGTAACACCAAAGATGAACTGAAGGCAAGGATTATGGCAGCATTCACAAACTTAAACAAGGAGACTGTCCAGAAGAGTTGCAGGAGATTCCGAAGATTTCTGGAGGCCATCCATGGTTGAAGCCAATGGTGATTTTATTGAATAAATTTACTCTTTAGTATTCCAAGATATTTTTATGTAAGTTTGGTAAATATATCTGTTAAAATGAGATGTCAGTGTTATTTTCATTTTTGCATAATTTAGATGACAATTTATCCATTGCAACCAGTGTGTGTGTGTGTGTGTGTGTTTGTATACATACATACATATATATATATATATATAATTGTTCTGTCCTTCAACAGTACGCATCCATGTCATACATGTGTGTAATCTTGAAGACAGTCATAAAAATGCCTTAAGGCAATTAAGACTCTGAAGATGACGTCACGTTCATCAGAAGGTTTATTAATAACCAAAAGGCATTTTTCTGTCTGTCTTTGAGATTACCCACTCATATGACATGAACCCTTTCTCGTAGGGTCAAAACAGTAAAATGGTGATGTTAACATTGAGGATGAGATTAAGATGATAAAGCTACCAACCATGTAGTTGGTCTCATGCCTTTATTGTGAGGGGTTCTGGTGAAGGGCTAACTGGAAGGTAGTCAAAATGGTGATCAATCTAAAAGGTAACTAAACTACAAAAGTGACAAAGGGAAGTAAAATGAGACAGTTTCTGTACTGTGGTAACAGAACATATATATATTATATATATATATATATATATATACTTCTTTTATTTTAGGATGTTACATCAAAAAACATGTCAAAATTGCTACACAATTGCAGTTGTGTTTCGATGCATATCAACGGATCTCATCGGGCGATTGTAAATTACTGGCGAGTAAACAATTTAATCAGATTTAAAAGCAAAATACTGCCTCTTTTTATGAAAAAAAGAAAAAAGTAGTGGGGTTATAAGGTTTGTGGGCTTTATTCAGATCAACCAATCAAATATGACCTATGTTAAATTTGAACTAAGGGAAGAAGCAAAAATTAAGAAATTATTTTCCAAAAATGGGTCATAACCCATAGATTTGAAATCAATGGCAAAAACAGACATTAAACAGGAGTGGATGTAAATGGATACATATTATACATTAGACAATATCATTTCCTAAGAAAAAATGAAGTGGTAACCTAACAAAATGCTAGACAAGTTATATGCTTGGTGAATTTCCTACATAAAGAAAAATTATAGTTGATAAATAAATAGATTCTTTAAGAAACCAGTAAATAATTCAAAAGTATAGATTTACTTGGTAAATTACAAGGTAACCAAAAAAGTTCTGTCCGTTTTTAAAGGAAAAAAAGAAAATGCTTCACAGTATGTGTAACTTATATTTAGTCTTCGAAGTAATCACTATCGACATCCAGCACCTTCTGCCAACATGTGTCTCCAGCTGTTCAATGCCCTTGCGGTAGAACTCGGGGGTGGGGAATGGGTGACGCAAAGAAGTCCGTAAGGGCTTTGTGCAAGTCTACTTCATTGGTGAAGGATTTCCCATGAAGATGATTATCCAGGGAGTGGAAGAGGTGGTAATTGGATGGTGCAAGGTCAGGTGAATAAGGTGGATGGCACAAAGTCTCCCACCCGAGTTGCTGTATGGTATCCCTGACCACTCGCGCGACATGCAGCCTGGCATTGTCATGGAGGAAAAACACACTTTTACAATTCACCAGTGCTGGCTCCTTCTGGTGCAATGCCTGATGCACACGTTTCAATTGCTGCGAGTATAGGTCTCCAGTGACTGTTTGGCCCGTTGGTAGCAGTTCATAATGAACCACTTGACAACCTGTCCACCAGACACAAAGCTTAATCTTGTGTGGGTGCATAGGCAGTCTTGCGGTGTGAGGGACAGCATCCTGAGGAGACAACCAATGTCTGGAATGCTTGGTAGTTTCGTACAGAACCCACTTTTCATCACTGGTAAGCACTCGATTGAATAAGGATGCGGTACGTTGGCAAGAAAGCAGTGATACGCAGACTGCCACTCGTTGTCTCTTGTGGACCTCCAACAGTGTTTGCGGAACCCACTTGCTCAGTTTGTATGTACCTAGGCAGTGCAGGTGAAGTCTAACTGTTTCATCGGAAATGTTGAACAATCTTGCAAGTTCACCACACATTAGACAACTGTCCTCTTCAATGGCCGCCTTCAGGACTCTGTCATTCAAGACCTGTGGTCGTCCACTGCGAGGCTCATCATGGAGAGACAAATCTCCCAACTTGAATTTTCAAAACCAACACCTTGCAGTATGTTCATCCACAGCACTATCCCCAAATGCTTGACATATGTGGCGACTTGATGCAGCTGCTGATAAGCCCACCTTGAAGTCATAAAGCAAACAGCCCCGAACGACATCTCTAGACACTTCCATCCTTCTCACAGCTGTCTAGCTTATAACTGATAACATATAATTTTTATAACGTCTGATGTTCCTACTTCCGGCTGTCCAAATTTTAAATCAATTGCTACACGCATTTCGTATATATTTCAATGTCATTCAATGACTAATCAAAAAACGGACAGAACTTTTTTGGTTACCTTGTAATATGCAACAGTTGACTAAAGATTCTTTATATAAGGTGTTAATAACAATAACCAATCAATGCAAAATGTCCAAATACCAATACATCTATACAAGATGTTACTAACACTACCACGAGATTAATACAAAATTATATTAAATCCAAATTAACCTTACTAACAGAAAGATAAGCCATATATGATGCAACACAGTTCAACTAAAATCTAAGAAAAAGCATTGTCAAATTCCAAGACTAACTGAATTGTATGATAAAAGGTAGACAATTTACAATTTACCATTAACTCGGATCTTTGGTTTAATAAAGCATTCTTATCAAAGAACCTGATAATTTGCAATTTTTCATGTAAACACAAAAAATAGGGTTCATATAAAGATGTCCTTGCCATTCCTAAAATTTTCCATTTAGGAGTTTTATTACCGTCTTTCAAACTCCAAAAATATTTAGAAAGTGATGTATTATTTCTGTAAGTATTATTAGTAAAGGACAATATATGTTGATACCACCTAGTCTTGAAAGAATTCTTAGTATTACCAATACAGAACTTTTCAACTGTCAGATTTTCTATTGTAGAGATAGAACAAAGATAAACAAGAGATATAGTTAAACATTTGTTTGACAATGTGCATTTGTCAGGATTCCTACAATTACATTGGCCAGTATCCTTAACAATATTCTTCTTGGAACTTGTATTGATTCAGATTATTAAATTGGTTTAGAGTTTTATTGTTGTGTAACTTTATGATCTTCTCAAGATTATTGGTGTAGTTGTAACTTAATTTTAATGTGTTTCTGTTAAATATTTTACTAAGAGGGTTAATTTTAGGAAAATGTTTATCAATCAGTTTGAGGAACTTATGGCCTAACTTAGTACTAACTAATTGATTAAATGGGGGGGGGGTTATACCAAATGATCTTCCTATTTCTGTTTCTTTTCTTTGGACCACTATCATCATATTTTCTAAACTTGATTTCAGAGCACTTATAACCACTATTTTTTAGAACTTTATTGTACACACCATACTCTATAGAACATAGGATTAGTAACCACTCATCAGACAAAGATGTGTTTGATAATTTATCAAACACATCTTTATCCGATGAGTGGTTGCTAATCCTATGTTCTGCAGAGGAAGGAATATGTTGGTTTACAGATGGAGTATGGTTGGAATTGGGGTGAATATGAATTGAGTTGGCGTTATTTCTCATATAAGGTTGAAATATGTCATTAACTAGATCTGACGTAACATCAAGAAAATTTACTTGTTAACATTAGTGCATATCTTAACCTTAAGATTTAAACTTTTTAGTCCTCTATGAATCATTTTTCTTAATTTATCTACCTTAATTTTAATGGAATTTTGCTTTTAAATCTGAATAAATTGTTCACGTGCCAGTAATTTACAATTGCCTGATGAGATGCGTTAATACGCATTGAAACATGACTGCAATTGTGTAGCAATTTTGACATTTTTTCGATGTAATATCCTAAAATAGAGAATATTGCTCTACTTTGTATTGAGCCCCTCTTTTAAATTGAATGTTACGAACATTGGAATTGTACTCTATTCATTCTCATCTTACTTGGAGATATATATATATATATATATATATATATATATATATATATATATATATATATATAATGGTTGGCTGGCTACTTGTTTTTCAGCACACCCATCCCTGTTATAGATGCCAGCTCAGGATCTTTTGTGTTTTTTCAATGTCTACAGAGCTCACCTGTAGTTTATACTACAACTAAGCTGTGACCTTAGTTAGAGTTTATGGGAGAGAGAGCACATAATCTGGCACGATCAACAGTTTGAACAAGTCCAGTACATGATGACTTGTGACTTCATGCTAGGACAACCATTGGTGGCTTCTGAACAGTTTGATCTACCCATTTTCACTTACAAGGCTTGGATCAACCTGTAATTTGTTTTTAAGCACTTTCTGATGCTGTCACATATTGGGATATACAAACACACACTAAATGTCACTCAGTACAAAGCTTCAGAGTCACTCAAGATAGAGGTTTATTGTCAAAAGGGTAATACTAAATGAGGTGTGTGATATGAATTGCAAGATACTTTTATTGTATTTATTAGGAATATGGTATTTACAAGGTACCTTTAGTGTTTACAAGTTACATTTATTATTTCTCAGGAATATGGTATTTACCAGCCACATTTATTGTTTCTCAGGAATATGGTATTTACAAGGTACTTTTATTGTATTTTTCAGGAATATGATTTTGTAAGTTGAGTCCAGTCAAAAGTAATTCCAATTGAATTTTATGATAACTTTGTCACAACCCAAAGGCTTAATATCAGAATTGAAGTAATCAATCTTGTACTTGTAAAATATCCAATAGCCATGTGGTATAACTATGTAATTATTCTAATCTTATTCTAAGTGTTTTTCCCAGTTTTAACTGCAGTTATTAATTTCTTTAATTTTTGTACTCTTATTTCAGTCCAAGTCAGAACAAGCCTCTGAAGACACAGCAATATCGACTGGTGAAGGAAAATTGACCAATCAGTTTAATTTCAGTGAAAGAGCATCCCAGACATACAATAATCCTGTGAGGGTAAGTAAAACAGGCAAACACATAGATAAGCTAACTTAGGCTTTGTTAAAGTCCATCTTTGAGATAACAATGTAAAAGATAATCCTTCAAAATAGTTTATATTCTATCATGGGCCTACTTGTAGGATAGGCTAGTTGTATGTTTACTTCAAATACCATCTCAATAATCAATAATCCCTCCCCACTTAGAAAATTGGTACAACACAATCTTTCTATTACCCTAACAATTAATACATTCATATTCTGTTAGTGTAGAGTTCTCACTCACAGTAGATCAGGAGGAAGGAACTAGAAGAGTTGCCACCAATGTTGCAATAAGAGCAAGAACTGAAATATACGAATGAGTGTTATGTGGGATTTTGATACAGTTGTCTTTTATATTACAATAAAGTTGTTGACAGCCAAATCCCTTCTTATCATTGAGGATATTACACATGTACTTGTAAAATCTACAATGCCTAAATAGAATAAATATTTATCTCTTCTCTCTCTATGTTTAGAGTAAACTGTTTTCTCATATTACTATACTCAGTTGATATTGTTATTGAAAATAACTTATAAAATTTCATAGTGTCCTTTGTAATAGAAAGAAATGTTTTCTTTATCAACATGAGAATTGTTTAAACTACACCTTTTAAAATTGGTCTGAGTAAACTTTTGGAAATATTTAAAATATTTAAATAAATCCAGAGAAAATGCTGAGTCAATGAATTTAGTCAAATCACCTGGAAAAAGGAAATCTTTGAGATTTAATAAACAGATTCATAAAACTGTTAAGCCTTGAAATATTCTTCCTTTTTATAGTGCTCATTTTTTCAGTATCTGTCTATATTTCTGAGATGAGGTATTATGTACACTATTTACATTATTCAGACTATTGTTCTCCACTACCTCAAAGACACATGGCACAGTGGATAAAGGCGTTAGTTAGATCCAGTGACAGGACCCAAAGACTGTAAGTTCAATACCCGTTTAAGGCAGAGGGGAATTAACAGGAGATAACTGACAACTGACGTCCATTAAACATGGTATGTGGAACTAGAACAGTCTACCCCAGTGAGCGAAATAAAGTGTTCAGTTTGACATTCCAACCACCTGATGAAGGCCAGAGTGTACAACAACTGAAATGTTGTAATAAACATGGCGACAAAGATGACAATAGTCTGAATAATGTAAATAGTGCTCGTTTTTTATTGTAAATTTTGTTGGCTGACATAGCCTTTTTGCAAGTTTCTTAGATTGCCTTTCACATTGTCCTTTTGTGGGATTACCCCAACTTGGTCTGCCAAGATGCCTTCTAGGTAGCACTGTCTTAAGAATATAAAAGGACAGGACAATAAACCCTCCCTCTCTCTTTTGCTCTATAATGTACCAACAACAACATGAGCCTGATCCATGCTGTGGGGAAATTTCTTTCCCCCCATTTGACCATCTACTAGATTTTAAGTCATACACACTTATGTATAACACACGCACAAACATTTCCTAATAGCAAAGCCTTAAATGTTTTCCTTTCTTTTCCATCTATTTGTGTACACACAAGTATATTTTCTCTCTTCTTGAATTATGTTATTCTTTATATAAAAATATATATGTAAAATACCTAAAAAAAGTGATGTGTGCTGTTCAGGACCATAAAAAGATGGGGCAATAAATCTTCTTCCTCTTTTTGCTCCCAAAACAAACAGTTGGACTTCTCTGCCACCGAGGTGGGGGGGGGGGAGATTTCTTTCCTCAGCCAGTTATCTTAAATTTCAATCAGCTATGTGGCACATACACAAAAAAAAACACAGCACATTTCCTAATAGCAAAGTTTTAAATGTTTTCCTTTCTTTTTCATCTATCCGTACACACAAGTATATTTTCTCTCTTCTTGAATTATATTAATCTTTATACAAAAATGTATATGTAAAACTCCTGCATGTGTTGTAATTTATTCCTTTTGTAAATGTTGAATTCAATTTCTTCAAAAGTTCCCAACATTGTTCCACTACAAACCTGTAGACACACTTTTGCTCTACATTTTACAAGTCTCATTTTCTATGTAAGTTTTCATGCTGGAGATATAAACCTGACTTCTAAATAAGCAAAAGAAAGTTATCGATGCATAAAATACAAGAATAAAATATTCCATGTATATTATGAAGAGGATGGAGCTGCAACCATATTGTAAAGGTGTCACTGGAAATATTTAATGTTGATATTGCATTAGATGCATCCCAATGATTCATTTAGGTTGAGAAATGTTGCTATTACATTGAAAATATCTATCTATCCTTAAAGCTTGTTAATCTTATTGGTTAATTCCTGTATTAGAAAGTTACTGTGATCATTTTAAAGTTATAAAAACATGGTGAATTATGATAAATCATTTTAAATTTTAAAACTGATTTTTAACAAACTTGAAAGTTTTTGATATGATTCATAGCCAAATTCATTTTCTCTTCTGGTTTGCTTACAATAATATTGGAGAAATATAAATTTTTGTTCCTTATTTACAGCATAAAATGCTTACATTGTTCATTGTTATTTAAATCTTCAAAAGATTTTTTACCAATATCAAAATTTTTAAATAAGTATTTTATATCTTATAACAGCATCTATTTATTAATTGAACTTATTTTTTTAACTGTTTTTCAGGATACAGGCACAATGACTGAGCCACCTCCAAAAGTGACATTTTCATCAAATGCCAGCCAATGGGAGATATTTGATGCTTACATAGAAGATACAGAGAAACAGGTAAGTTTTAAACTTACATAAATTTTCTTCAACAATGTTATTATTTATATTGTGCAGACATCACTTTTAAAATATTCATATTTTTTAGATGAAATATCATTAAGCTCCTAAGAAATTAATTTTTTCAGATTTGCTTTTTTTAGTAAGATAACAATTTACATAGAGCTACTGAGACTGATAATTTGCATCACTCATGAGAACTGAGCAAGAAGCTATACATAATCAAAGGATAAAAAATGCATAAAAATTAACATATATTCTTTCTTTATTAGTTATATACAATATCTATAACTGAAGGTAGGAGATTACTATACAAAAATAAACCCCAAAAAACATCAAGCATCCTAAAATTTTTGTGGATATCATATTGTGGTGAACAGCCTCGTAGAAGCAAGTGAGCCAGAGTGGCTTGCATCTGGTGTATAGGAAAATAAGGGTCTTACCTTAACGTGCGGCACGTGTCATCAGCAAGTTTGCTTCATGAAAATGGCATCACTCTCCCATCCAGCCATTCTAGCAGTATGTGCAAGGATGAGGGTTTTTTGTACTGTTTGGAATGGTTCCACCAATAGCAAGTCGTGTGCTGATTGGTCGAACTGGAGGAGGCAATTTGCCTGTGTAAAACGAGAATAACAGCGAAGAAAGCTGATTGGCTGGGGAACTGCGGTGTTGGCCTGATAAAAGAGTGCTGGAGCCGTGAAAAAGGGAACAGAAACGTTGGTTATATATAGTGATGTGTGAAGAAAGCGAGGACGGTGAATTGAACCAGCGATATTGTGATTTGTACAAGTGACTGCTGGGAGAGCAGTAGACTTATTTAATCTACACATATATTTCTACAATTATACAGTGTGTTCCAAAACTCACGTGACAATTGGCAGAAAACATACACTTGTGAAATAGCAACCAGGGAAAATTTGCATGACATCATCTTCCATAATTCAACCAATAAAATTTCTTAATAATATATTGTCACATACAGAAACATGATTCCATTTGGTAAATAAATATAAAATTTACAAGGTTATCAATGATAATGCAACTTTTGGAACACACTGTATTTAAAGAAAAGTTGTGCTGTAAATTGATTATTAACTGAATAAGTGATGGTGGCCATTTGTAAATGTTTAAACAACCCTCTTAGAGTATAGCAATATAACTGATCTTTTTTTAATAAATTTCACCCAAGTCCAGTCAAGGTAGAGGGTTAATGTAGAAATAGTAATGAGGAGTGAAGTATGAATGAAAGAAAAGGTGGTAGGAAGTGGAGTTTATGAGGAAAAGGAGGATAAATAACAATTGACCTTTGAGTTGAAGAGATCAAGATTAAAGTGTTCAGGAGAGCACCCATGTAGGAGTCTGTTCCCAAAAGTGATAGTTCTTGGAAAAAACTGTCTGAGTAGAACTTCTTTTTATATGAATATATTTGACAATAATTTATTTCCTATAATCTTAAAAGAATATGAATATATTGTTGGCATCCTTCTGCCTCGTAAGATAATGGAGTATGTGCCAAGAGTTGGTCTAGTTTGGTCTGTAAATATATAATATATAAGTATAAAAGGATTTATATGAATTGAGTAGATATACAAAAACAGAAAGGGACATGAGACAAGGAAGCATCTTCTCCCCAGATTTATTCAACCTCTACAGTAATGCTATCCAAGAGAACTTGAGACCCTACCAGGATTTATTATCAATGAGCATAATCTCAACAATATAAGATACACAGATAACACTGTGTTGACAGCCGACTCAGATAAGAAACTACAGACCTAGACAGGGAGGGGGTAAAAGAAAGTGAGAAAAAAGATCTAACCATCAAGTGCAAAAAGACATAAAGTATGATCATCAGCAAGAGAAAAAGCTGGATTGCTATGTGATATCCATTCTCTTATATGGCAGTGAATGTTGGATGATTTCCCTAGAGATGAAGAAAAAACTAGAGGCAGCAGAAATGTGGTTCTACAGAAAGATACTGAAAATTCCATGGACAGAGCAAGCAAGCAACAAGGGAGTCCTAAAAAACTGGCAATAGAAAGAGCGCTTATACTCAAAATCCAGGAAAGACTTGGACATAATTAGGAAGGAAGGCTTGGAAAAATTATCCTTCATGGAGCATATTGAACGGGTTACTGAATGTGAGAGAATATGAGAAAAAAAAACATTATTAATGAGAGCAAACAGTAAAAGAACAGGAATTAAGAAGACAGAAGATAATGATTCACATTGCATTTAGATTTTTGAAGATCAAAATTGACTGGAAAGCAAGATGCCAGAAAAGAGTTCTACAAGCAAGAAGTGTTAAACCTGACAATCACTTACATGGATCATTTAGAATCAATAATTATTACCTTCTTTTCTGTTTACTAACTTACTTTTTAGATTAACATCTTAATAACATTATTGGTTTGAAACCTATAATGTTCTTTTGTAATTATTAACCATTAGCAGATCCATGTGTCCATTAATCTAGCATATTCTTCCATGCATTTCTGTGCAATCCAAAGGTTCCAAAATTTAAAAAAATTAAAAATTATTAGGCTTTCCTAATCACAAGAATAATATTATTTAATTATATTTCATTCATTTTGATAATTTCTGTGTAAATTTCTGAGATGACGAATTATCACATTATAGACTGATTTATTCAAACTATTATTCTCATCTTAGTCATTCTAGCCATAATGTTATGAAATATGACAGGCACCTGAAGAAATATGGGATATAAAATTGTGATGATAAAAACTAAGATGAGGACAATAGTTTGAATCAGTCTATAAGATTTTGATAATTTTTATCTATGCATAGAACATAAGCAAGTACTATAATGAAGTTATCTACAGTGGATCTTGAGCCTATAAAAAATGCAACCTGGTAATACCCATCCAATACGAATTGTTATTTGTTATTATCAATATTACAATGACTCAAGCATTTAAATTTTTAGTAACTTTTATTCTTCTTATGTATTTATGATGATTACAATATTCCAAATTCATGATGACAATAAATAAAAAAGGTATTAGTTACTTTAACAAAGACCTTGTTCTAGAATTTCTCTAATTATCATTTCCAGAATTATAGTAAAAAAAACTTTTCCTATTTTTATAGGAATGGACTGATATTAATAGTTTACTTAACATTTATAGTTTTTTGATGTCAACAATATAAGATAACATGATATGCAAAATGTATTATCATAATAAGTCTAACCATAATTTTGACTTAATGCAGTTTTGATGAAAAGAGAAAGTAATTTATTGCAGCAAAGATGTGTAGAAAGTACAATAATTTCTGAGTCTTACATGGTAAATTTACGTCCAGGATCATAGAGCATTTCAGGAATTGTTTAAACTCTAATTATCATTCTTTTTATTGTTTTTCTTGTTACTCTGAGATTTTGACAATGTCTTCTGCAGCCACACAATTTCATGAAAATAGGAGAGTGGTTTGTTTATTTTTAAGTGGAACAAACTAGAAAATGGTACCCAAAAGAAAAGAAAAAACATAAATTGTTGGCAAATATGCTTGTGGGACCATTATGCTAAACTTTACCACAGTGCATGTAACACAAACAATTCCATATTTTATACATTGAGTTGCCCACTGATATTTATTTTTTCGTAATTAAAGAAATTCATACTGTGTTAAAATCTTCAGTAGCTTGACATACATTTATCAGCAGTTTCTTTTAATTTTCCATCTTGCAGCCATAGAATGGATAGGCTGAAACATTTTTTAATGGCAAAAAAAAACATTTAAAAGAATGAAATCAACAAACCTTGACAGATGTTCTATGTTACATTTAAAAAAATGTAATTTGTTTAAATGTGAGAATGATTTCATTTTGTATTGTTCTCTCTCAATGCTGATCATTTGATAAGCTATAAAGAAAGTTTTAAGCAAAATTGCTTTGTGTTAGTGTGCAGAAGACAATATTTGAATACAAATATAAAAAAAAATATTTATAGAAGAGGGTGCTGAAAAGTTTTCAACCAAACCCTCTTCCCAAAATCTGACCAAATGGCCGAACATCAGGTTTTTATGAGAAAGGGCCTTCATGGTTAACCTTAGAATTTATCAGCACTTCCTCATGTATACTCAAAGAACAAAATAATTTTAATGACAATTGCTGAATTCTATTTTGGAATCTTTTCTTTGGACTGAAATCTTATTTTCTTTAATAAATTATTTATTTTATTTCAATTATTTTTTGTTTTGTTTTTGTTCAAAATGTTTTTTATATCCCTTTCACCTTTTGAAATTTTTCTGAATTTTAAAATTCATTTTTCTCAGCGACATCTACCAAAAAGTGTCAGATTGTATCCAGCTGGACCTCGGGTATTTTCTGCCTAATTATGTTTTAGGTTGTTTATATATATATATATATATATATATATACACATATATATATATATTAAATTGTGTGGTTTTTGCTCCTCACATCACCATATATTATTTGGTCTCACATTCAGCTTTTGGCAAAAACATAGACTAATTTGACTTTATAAGAAGAAACATTTTTTAATAATACAGTCTTTCAAAAATGAACTTGTTTAACAATAAAATGTGACATACTGCAAAACAGAACATTGAAGATGTAAACACCCAGAGGTAACAGTCTGTTTCATACTTAAACACAATCATCAGGCTGTAATGATTGCATTTAAACATGAAACAGACTGTCGCCTCTGGGTGTTTGACTTCAATGTACACTTTTATATTTATATATGCTCTATCCCTGATATTGAGCTCTTTAACCCATAGATATAGCATATTTTAAAACTATATTTTATCATATATTGCATAAGAGAGAGAGAGAGAGAACGCATTTTTCACAGAATGCACCAGACATACACATATTTTGATCTAAAACAAAAGTACTAATCCATACATAAATAATTCTATCATTTTTTATGAGTGCTCTGGTCTCACTCTCTCTCTCTCTCTCTCTCTATATATATATATATATATATATATATATATATAGTTTTAAGCCATATTTTTATCATATATATATATATATATATACAGGGTGAGATAGGTAAATTGTTACCATTTTATATTTTTAATTTCTCACATGCACATTGTTTTTTATTTAGTCAACTGCACAATATAGTTGGATCAGTTGTGAACCATCTGTGAGAAAACAACCACCATCACACAATTCATTCTGCCAGAAATTTGGAAACAGTATGCTCATTACACATAAATGAAAATAACACTGACATCTCATTTTAACAGATATATTTACCAAAATTACACAAAAATACAGTTTATTCAATAAAATTGCCATTGGCTTTAACCATGGCCTCCAGACAACTTCAGAAACTCCTGCATCTCTTCTGGATGGTCTCCTTGTCTTCAGTTCATCTTTGGTGTTACAAGGAGTTTTGTTGGTCTTTCACTCAACTGCACCCCACACATAATAATCAAGGGTGTTGCAGTCTGGAGAGTTAAGTGGCCAGATATAAGGGGTGATCTGGTCACAGAAATTGTCTGACAGCCATGACTGGATTCTCCTGAATTATATGGTATGGTGCAGAGTCCTGTGGCCAGACATAGGGTCTTCCAGCAGCCACCCTCTTTACCAAGGGAAGCACTACCTCCTCAAGGCACTTGATGTAGTCCTCCATGTTGAGTCCGAAGCCCTGTGGGATGATGAATGGAGGCATAGCATTGCCATCACTAGTGATCATGCCAAACACCATGATAATTGGATATTTGGTTTTTATCTCTCTCAGTACATCTTTTGGAGGCACAGCAAGCCAATGGTTTTGTGTGTTCACTATCTTATCCTGGCCGCAATTTTTCTTGTCTGAAAAAAAAACAAATCATGTTTGGTTGGAGGGGATGCTTGAGTTTGTTCAAAAGGTTCATAGCATGGTCTTTCCTCTTGTACTTCATGGCTTGGAATAAAAATTGGTCCTTTCTCATCTTGTATGAGAAATACTGAACGTCTTCATGCACTACCTGCCTGATAAGAAACTCAGACACTCCTGTGTCCCTGGCTATGAACTTGATTGCTGTGAATCATGGCATGAATCTCATCAACAAATTCAGGAATTCTTTTCTTACCAAATGATCTGAGTGAGTTTTCCGAGCTGCCGTACCTTTGTAATCTCCATTAGACTTATCAAACTCTTTCCAAATCCTCTGCACTGTCCAGAGATTGACACCCCAACAGTCTGAAATGTTCGTATTGGAGCTTCCAGTACAAATGGCAAACAGTACAGCAGGCCATTTTCAAATTTCTGGCAAAGTGAATTGCATCATGTTGCACTTTTTCTAACAGTTGGTGTGCAACTGATCCTGCTATTATGTGCAGTCAACAAAATCAAAAGCAAACAATATTCATATATGAAATAATAATATAAAATGGCGACAATTTATCCATCGCACCCTGTATTTGCAATTTTTATTGCTTTTCATATAATTGAAATCTGTAAACCCAATTAACAATTAAATTTGCAAACAATTATATTACAATTAAATTTATAAGCAATTACAATTGAATCTGTAAACAATTAAACTTGCAAGGCATGAAGATAAAAATTATACTCATGGTTATTGCTGAAAATTCTTTATTAAAAATAGAAACACTTCAAAATTTTCCTTATAATTCAATAATCTTTGTCCACTTAGTTCATTGAAAAAATATAATAGAATGTTAAATTCATTTTGAAATTGTCGTATAGTTTCTTAAGACACTTGGAAAATAATATTAACAAAAACAAAAAAAGTAGATCAGTTTTCAATAATTTAACCAAAATCCTCAGATATTAAAATATTCAAGAGTCAGCAAATTTGTTAAATTATGTTTATTTTTATTTATTTCTTGTCTCATTTTACTAATAAATAGCATATTTTAAAAATATCAATGCAAGAAATTAATACATAAATATGATTTCATAACAAATTACAAACCTACCACATGCTCTGATCAGTACCAAATGATGTTTAAGAGTAAGATAGAAATTATTGATTTACGATATTGTGTTCATTTGAAAGATTGTCTGTCGTAAAGATTGCTTCCTATAAACTTATTTGCTGCTTTGTCACACATTCCAATTTGCCATTTGTTATTTTTTTTCTGTGGTTCACACTGAATTTTATGTCAATCACATTCTGTATATATATATATATTTTTTTACTAATTTACTGTCTATGTTCACATAAAGGCATTAGAAGTTGCACATTGTTAGCAATATAGCTTCTTTTTTAAGCTCAAACATTGAAATCAGAAGTAATTCACATTATGTTTATGTATGTGTATATGTTGTACAAATTGCCTTTTGTAAAAGACATTAATGTATGACACTGACAAAGCTTCAACCGATCTCCCAAGAGAAACAATTTGTAATGATTCTTTTTGGAAGGTTTGGAGCTACAAAACTCATTCACTGATGTTTTTTTTCTTCTTTTAAAAAACTGGAAAAGCAGTTATCATTTTTTGTTTGAAATATATAAAGAAAATTATAAAGAATGGTTCCACCCAACTGATAAAATGATAACACTTTTAGGCTCACATATACATTCAGTTTCCAAACAAAGTATGTTACTTAATGGTTTCAGTAAATATCACTTAAATATTACTATCATTAACCTGGCTGAGATTTTAAAATCAGTAATTATCATTTTACCACAAAATTTTGGAACTTGTATTTCTGTCTTTGCCCCTTTTATCACTAAGTTTTAGCTAGTGTATTTTCTGAATTTTTTTCAGGAACTAGGTATTAGAGTTTTACTGAAAACAATTAATGTGTCAGACTAAAAATATAAAACCAAAAATTGTGTATACAATATCCCGTGCAGTTGTAGTATAGAATATAAAAAAGAAACTAATTAATCCTTAAGACTAGAAAACCATCAAAAAGTTATCATTCAAGGTGATACTATAAAGTTGGATCAAAATTTGGAATGCAGTCATAATAATAAAGAATATGTGGGGAGCAAAGTGTGAATAATAAAAAAAGATCATCACTGAGATAATGCATATATATTGATTTACTCAAAAGAAATAGTAAGCTTTTCAGTTTAACTACAGGAATTTATGATGCCCAGATAGAAGACTACCTTTGATAGATCATCCAAATGTAACACATGAATTATCCACTTGAAGAAAGATGAAGAATGCATTGACCAAAATGAAAGGGTTCAGAATATTTGCCCAAACAAATCTTGAAATAATTTTAACTTTAATACTTGAAATATTTTTGTTCTTATAAGTTTTATTAATTACAAAAATAAACTGATTTTTTTTACATTTACTAATTGCAAAATAATACAGTTTTATTGCATATTAGGACTTTTGGAAAAAAAATAGAATCTGACTCTGTGTGTGTGTGTGTGTGTGTGTGTGTGTGTGTGTGTGTGTGTGTGTGTGTGTGTGTGTGTGTGTTGTGGTAAGCATTTATTTGTTTTTGAGAATTAATTTATTTTAATTGTTAATATCTATATTGAAATATAGTAAAGGTGACTTACAGGGTATCACCCTCATTCAAAGACAAAGCCAAATATACAGATCAGGGAAATTCAGGTTCGTGTTATTGTCAAAGGTTTTAGAATTAAATGGTATAAGTAGCCAATGGATAAAGTTTGAAAACATTTGATCAATTCTGTCCTTTATATTTCCTGGGACACTTTATACATCACTTGTTTATGTCTAGATAAAAACATACTAAAAACAAAGACTGTCATTTTTGTTGTAGGTTTGTATATTTTTATATTTATTGCAAGGATTGTATTTGCTTACATGCTTATTTTCTTATGATTTTTATCTTTCATAATTTAATTTCTGAAAATATAATTAGAAGCAATAATAAGTAATCATTTAAATTGGCTTACTATAAATATGTCAACTAACAGTTCTGTATATGATATGAATTATAATTGATGCATATGTCATAATAATATACATCATTCTTAATATGTAAGTGATATTCTCCAAATATCATCCTTATTATTGCAGTTTTGTTAAAATATTTGAGTCTGTAATTTTTTTCATATATTATACAATGTTATCTTGATATTATTATTATTGTTATTATTATACAATATCATGTCATCTTGTTAAAAGATTTTCTGAATTTAACAACTAAGATGGAGATAACTTTTCCAGAATCACTAAGTACATTGTGGAGTTTTGATTGATGTTAATTAAAAGCTGATTTTTTTCCTTTCTTATTATTTTTAATTTCACATTTCAATTAAGCTGGAGAAAAAAGAGAAAGAGAAGAAAGGTCATGCTGGTAAAAAAGAAGAAGAACATGTAAAGAAGAAGCTGACCAATATTGAATCTCAAGTGAGTTGGAACTCTTCATACAAGATTTTGCCTTTTACCAAATGAAGAATATTAATGATATAAAAATAGCATTGAATTATTCTGATTGTTCTGAAGACATTATGTTATATTCCGTGCTAATAGGAATATATATTTGACAAACACAGTGGATAAAATAAGTAAAGGTTTATTGTAAAAACCAGTACAATAAGAAATAAGGTAATAGTTATGCACATGATCATCGCAAGTCAATCCAGTAGTGAGTGCTACTATTGGAAGGTCGGTAGTTCTCGCATAAATCTGAGTCGTACTCAACAGATCCCAGCTAGACTTTGTAGTCTGTCGACTTACCGATACTTATAGGTAGTTACTATCTATAGTGTGACATGGGGGTGACAGGTTATTCCATTACATCACATTATGATTAAAACATTCCTGTATTTCAGAATGGTTTATTTGCTATTTATTTAAGTGTATGTTTCACTCAAAGGTATAAGAATTGAGTGATAAGTAAGATTTCTTACTATATAGCATTGGTAATAGTGGAGATAGAAACATGTTTGAATATAAATAAAGACAAAAGGAAAACTTATCTTGGCCGATGAGTTTCATTGTCTGATGGACTATATAAAGGAAAATGTAAGGATTTTATTTTGTAACATGTATTTATACACAGAAGTAAAAATGTCATTAGTTTTTCAGAATTTTTAAAACTAAGAATACTCATAAATATACTTCAGGTTAACTAAAATGTCAAGGTAAATTATAGAGGATGCAAGTTAATGTCTAATAAACAAAAATGAGTTAATGTTGTTATTGTTGAATTTTTTATAGAGTAATTATTTTTTATTTTATTTTAGTTTAAGAAATTCAGTTATGCATTAAATGTATTTTAAAATAATAGAAGGTTTGGAATTTAATTGTTTCATTTTCAAGTTTTCAAAATTTTTATAGTCATTTATATTGGTTTGGGAAAGGAAGAATTTGAAAAAATCTGGGGCACAGATTTGTATTTTGGTAAAATTCAATAGTTGCACTCAAAAATTTTCCATCTAAGTAAGTTACATTTTCTTTTAATAAGTGCAACACTCATGTTTAAATATGTATTTGGTAGTATATAAAGACCTCTTTAAATGTGTTTATTGTCAATTCCCTGTGTAATGACATTGAGTAATAGTATTCATTAGTTATGAGTATTATATCTGAGTTAAAGGAGAAATCAGTGATAGAATCTTTGGCACAATAACACTGTGCACTGATCAAAATTTACAGTACCTATAAAAAGAATAAAAGTTTGCAAGCATTCAGGGCATCTGCAAAATAAGGCCTGAGAGGAGAACATTTTTTTCATAATAACAATGCAAGTACATATTTGAATCAACAAACATTATAAGCTATAAATAACTTGAAATTCACAGCCATGACATATTCTCTATGCAATCTCAATTTATCACCATTAGAATTTTTGTTGCTCTTTAATATTAGAGAGTTCAATATTTTCATCTATTGTTAAATTTGAATTTGTTGTAAGCAATTCAATCGTTGTAATCACCACTCCCTCTATTTATGTTGTAATTGTGGTTCATGTTGACATACAAGGCAGAATAGTACAATAGCTTGCACGTTCATTTTGCACCGCTCTGGTCACCGCTCCCCTCCTTCTCACAATTGTGGTTTATGGTGACATACAAGGCAGAATAGTGCAATGGCTAGCCGGTTCCTTTTGAACCGCTCTGGTCACCGCTCCCCTCCTTCTCACAATTGTGGTTTATGGTGACATACAAGGCAGAATAGTGCAATGGCTAGCCGGTTCCTTTTGAACCGCTCTGGTCACCGCTCCCCTCCTTCTCACAATTGTGGTTTATGGTGACATACAAGGCAGAATAGTGCAGTGGCTAGCCGGTTCCTTTTGAACCGCTCTGGTCACCGCTCCCTCCTTCTCACAATTGTGGTTTATGGTGACATACAAGGCAGAATAGTGCAATGGCTAGCCGGTTCCTTTTGAACCGCTCTGGTCACCGCTCCCCTCCTTCTCACAATTGTGGTTTATGGTGACATACAAGGCAGAATAGTACAATTGTTCCTTTTGCTCTGGAGATGTTTAAGTTACTGCAATTCTCCTCTCAGAAGTTCCCTGCTCACTGGTAAAGTCATTGACCTTTGAGGCTCATCTTCTATGCCCAGGCTGGCGAGTAGCCAGTGGCCACTTGGCACAGGTATGTTGGGGAGAGGCATTCTCCATCACTGGTTGGATTAGGAAACCCTTCCATCTACTCTCTCACAGTTTAACCAGCAGGTTGATGCTGTTAACTTGGGTGTGGCCGATGTAGTACCCATGCTACTTGTTGGAGCCTTGTGTGAGAATTGGATGTAGGCCATGGATCAGCACAGTTCCATATCCCAATTCACCTGAGTAAAACTACAAAGTTTTACTACAAGGATACTACCACTGATGATACACCCCACTAAATTGCTACTATGATGAAAAACAAACTTGTAATTTGGAAAAGGTATAAATTTACTTTATTTTGATACCAGGTAAATTATTCTATCTAGTCTAAAACTTTTATAGGCTTGAAGACCTTACTTATCCATCAATATTTGCACGTAAAAAAATCATGCATTTGCCATTTTTAAGACATTTTTTAATATACTGCTGTTTGCATAAAATTTGTAGTTGTCTTCTACTCATTATTATCTACTCATAATTATTCTTTATTTAAATACAATTTATGATATAATCATCATGAACTTTTCTCAAAGAATATTTTTCTTATAACTGCAAATTTATGGCTACAGATAAAACTTGCTTAATCATATTTAAGATAATTGAGAAAACTATTCAGAATAAAATTATTTCTATCATGTCAAATGACTTTAAAAATAAAACAATGTCAAAAGTATACAGACAATGTGAATGTTTTGTATAAATCCACTGACAATAAAACCAAAGTAAAACAAAGTAATTGATAGTATCATATACCGACATCTTAGAATATTCTTACTTTCAGTGCAAGGGAGAAATTTTGTCTGAAGAAAATCTCCTAGTACAAAGGTTATTTTGGTATCAAGTAAACATTATTATTTCAATGTGTACATATTGATGCATGTATAAAATATATTATCAAATAGCTGTAAAATAGATGGTGCTTAACTGGTTTAAACTTTAAGATGAGACTTGAGGCAACAGAGATGTGGTTCAACAGAAGAATGCTGAGAATACCATGAATAGAGCATGTGAACAGCAAGGAAGTTTTAAAAAAAGTGGAAATAAAAAGGTCATTGAAATGGCTAGATATAACTATAAGCTCTATGCTAATAGTTTCTTCTCACTTGTAGAACTCTCTTACAGCTTCTTGCCTTCCTGTCAGCTATGATCTTCAAAAATTTTAACGCAATGTCAATTGTCATCTACAATATATGATATTTTCTTTCACTATGTGTCCAGAGGGCGGCCATTTTGAAAGAGAATTATGGAAAAAAGAGATGACTTCACAAATTTTTTCCACATGATAACTTTATGGTTTATAAGTAAAAAAAAAACCTGAGGAATTCTGAAAATATTTCTTGATTAAATCTCATATAATATTTAGTGTTTCTATCATTTGAGAAGCAGAAATTATAAATCAAATTATGGCTTATAAGCTAAAAAAAAGATGAGCATGCTTATCTTGTAAGTTCCTAGATTTTAAAGTAGATTTTTCATCATTTGTGTAATCAACCAAATAAATATTAATGGAATAAATGTTATTTTAATCATCAACATTCCACGGTTTCTTTTTCTGCAGAGTGATGACATTTCAATTATTGTCACTGCTTCTATGATAATGGAAAGAATGGTGAATCAAAACACCTATGATGACATTGCACAAGGTTTGTATTGTTAAATTCTTTTTAACTTTTACAATTAAAACCTTCATAATTTTATCATGAGAATAAAACATTTGTTATGAATATATTAATATTTAGAATATAGCACTAAATCTTTCCTGCCCATTGATTAAAACATAGGCCTGTTGGTGGTTATTACAAAAATGATCTAACATTGTAATGTAATAATTATCAGCTTAGAAAACAGAACATGTAAGCATAATTCAAATTCCAGTTGAGGTTGCTTATATCACTTTTGTATTAATGCTTCTAAGACATGAATCCAGATATCCCTTTTCTCTGTCCTTGTTACTGGTGAAGAAAAGAGGGAATGAGTAGACAATTTAATATTTGCTCTCCCATCTAACCAGAGGTATGATAGCAAAATGGGTGTTATATCCAGTCATATGTATATACAATATACAAGTCAGCAAGATAGTTTTCCTTGAATATATGTAATTGTTACAAAGTAGTGGACATAGAAAAGTGTTCTAAAATCAATCCAAAAATGGCAGTTCAAGAATTTTCATATTATATCAGAGCAACCAGAAGAAAACCACTTCATATATCAGCCAACAGTTAAAGGAAGAGGCAGCTGAAAATTATGGGACACATAATGAGAAAGGAGGGCCTGGAGAATCTGATACTCACTACAGGTCAAATAGAGGGAAAGAGAGACAAGGGAAAGCAACGCATGACATACCTGGTGGGCTTAAGCAAGTGGATGACAGAACATAGTCTGGGGGAGGTGGCAGAGGGATGAAACTTATTGAGAGCTACAAGGGATAGGAGAGGAAGTGGAGAACCATGATCGCCTATGTTCTGAAGGGACATGACACATAAAAAGAAAGAAAAGTCACCTTTTCATATCAATCCACATGTTCTTAATTTTCAAACAGTGGGTGAATATGTGTTTGTAGATTGCTAGCCAAAAATTGCGTTTTAACCACATGCAACCCACTCTCAGACATGATGAATTTTTGTTTATGGGATGTGGAACAATTTGGAGCAATGTTTCTTCAAAGATTCTAGAATGCCAAGGGAGTATTGATTCTGAAAATACACATCTATTCATTAATGATTATTTCAACAAAAATTGCTCTTTTTATGGAAAATGCAATTTGATGCCATATAGAAAATGGTAATAGTAATATTAACGATTTCCTTATGTGAAAACTTTTGGCATTGACTTAGCAGCAAGTGCTACTTGAGTTAAACTTTTCTTCATTCCCTGGTCATTAAGCTAGGATTGATGTGTAGTATCTGTTCTCATCATCTTTAATTGTAAAGATATTATTCGGCATTTCCTTATGTGGAAACATTCAGCATTCATTGACTGAGCAGCAAGTACTACCATTGGTTGGAATTTATAAAAAAATTTCTATTAAAATGATTTTTCAGGAAAATAGGTTTCTCAAGTTCACTGTTATAGCTCTTTCCAGTATTGAGGGGTGCTTCCTTCTTAACCTTTTGTTTGAAGTTGTGTGGAACATTAATATCTTGATTATGTCATTATTTTCTCTTTGAAAACAGAAAAAAAGCATTACAGTAACTCTCTTGCTTAAATCACTTTTCAGATACAAATCATGGCTGGGGTTATTAAATTTGTTTGAGCCATTTGGAATTGTAAAATGAACAGAAAACCTACAAAAGATTTGCTTGTTGTTTTCACTACAATCGGGTCAAATAAGAGAAGATTGCATATCTGGTGAATTCAGTACATAAAAAAAATATATGAAAACTTGCTAATAATAAATCTATCAAATTTTATCACTGAACTAAAGCTTTGGTCTGAAAATAGAGGTTTCTATTTTGTCATTTTTCTGTAAATGTATGTACACTATATATATATATATATATATATATATATATATATATATATATATGGATCAAATACAGATTAAATGTGATTTGGAATCTGATAGAATGATAAGATAAAGAACAAAGAGGAAATGTTTATCAAGAAGAAAGAAATTCTGGTATTTTTCTTTTGTGTTTGATTTTCTTTGCCTAATTATGTTTCATGTACATTCAACTTGTTAAACAAATGTTAATATAATTTATGGCATTCTGAATTCAAGGAAAGACGATGTGTCCTACGAAGTTCCAAGAAATTAACAGATTCCAAGCCTATTGTTTTATGTATGTAAGTGTATAATAATTCTAGTTTACCTATGTGGGGTTCAGATGATAATGTGTATTTGTAAGTGTGTGTGTGTGTGTGTGTGTGTGTGGCGAGGTATGTCTGGCAGTCATTATGTTTGGTGGTTTTTTGCATGTTGGGAACATTTTTACATACATACCATTTTATATAAACATAAAATATATTAAATTCAAGTCAGCAAACCAGAAGAGGCATGACATGTGGAACTAGAACAATCTACCCCGGTGGACAAAATAAAGAGTTCAGTTCAAAATTCCAATCACCTGAACAAGGCCAGAGCGTACAATGGCCAAAACATTGTGAATATGGCAATGAAGATGAGGATAACAGTCCAAATAATGTAAATAATACAAGTATTCTTTTTTCATTTTCAGATTTCAAATATTGGGAAGATAGATCTGATGAATTCCGAGATCAGGAAGGCACCTTACTACCCCTTTGGAAATTTTCCTACGATAAAGTAAAACGTTTGTCTGTTACATCACTTTGTTGGAACCCAAAATACAAGGATTTATTTGCAGTTTCCTTTGGATCATGTAAGTAAAATGTCTGCCCATATAAACACAAAATGAAACCTACACTGAAATTGTAATTTATTTATTTTTCTGCTTTTATTCCAGTGATTATACATTATTTCATTTTAATATTTAACATAGGTACCTCCGTTTATTTCGCGAAAATCTAATATAGCATGACAAGAATGGTCTGAAAATTAACAAAAAATTTTTTCATGATAAAAGTATATTTCATTATTGAGAAGAAACACTAAAGTATTTTTTGAGTAATTTTGAAATTTTTTACTCATTCTTAGCATGTCCGAAATTTTAGTTAAAAAAACTGTTTACAAAATAACGAACAAAAAGCTCGATATCAGCCATATTTTTTGAAATTTTAAAAATAAGTTAAATTCTTCGTTTAAAATTCGTTTAAAAATTAATTATACGTATTTCAAAATTTATTCAAGAAATTTAGAAAATTTGAAGTTTATTTAAAATATTTTGAAAGAAACTTTTACCTACTTTCTTCGGAGAAAAATGTTTTTTAAGATAAAAGAGAGCCGATCTCAACATACAATTGACAAGTGCTGAATGATGACGTCTATAAATTATTGACAGCTGACGTGAGATTCAAGTTCTCGTACGGAAGAATAGAATGGACATATCGTTTTTTTTTTTAAGCGGACCTACTTAAGTAGTACTTTGTATTATTTAAAGTAAAAAAACTTTCGCCATTTATTTTTTTTAAAGTACTGTACCAAAAAGTTTGTTGAGGGTATCTGGAGAAATTATAAATACTATTAAAAAATTAAGATACAAGTGCTGCACTGCTGTTTGTGGGCCCATATAGACCCCTCTAAAGTCAATTCAGATTTGCTATTATAAAAAATTTCTATCCCCATTAAAAATAATCAAACATAGTAAAAAGTCATTTTGTCACAGCCTATATTCTCGGAAAAAATAAATAAATGGATTTTTTATATTTTTTAGGTTATATATATATAAAAATGACTTATCTGGAAAAATATCAGGAAAGTTTATCTGAATCCCATGAAACTAGGTATTTTCTGAAAGCAAACAATATGTTGCATTTAAAAGTAAAATTGGCCAGTGTAAATGATTGAAAAGTTTTTAGTTTTCTAGAGGCAAAATGTGAATCTTACTTATTATAAAACCCAGGTTCTGTGTGTTACGTTTACATATTGGATCGAATTTCCTACATTTTCAACCAATTTCAACCAAACATTACAGGACTACGATGAAAACTAGATGAAAGTACCTATTTTAACTTAATGAAAATGATGCACACGTGTTTCAGCAGGAACAGTTTGCTAAATTAAGGAGCCGTATACATTACTAGACAGAAACTCAATCCACGTGACGTTATTTTTATTGCACGACCAAACTTCTGGTCTTCCGTAGATTTCATTGGTAAACACATTATTGACAAATTAATTTTTTTTAATATACGAAGACTCATTAGTTTGTAATAAGCTTTGGAAATTATAATCTGTAAATATTTATCTACTTAAAAACAACATCCGTTAAAAATTTTTCCATAATTTTAGAAGAATTAACAACATAATGTAAAAATAAAAACAATGGTTGCAGAAATAAAAAATAATTGTAGGTAATTGTTTTAAAAATTCATTTTTCATCGAAATATCTTTTTTGCTTTCAGACAATATTGTCCATGTTTATTGGAATAAATAAAAGCAATTAAAAGCTTTTGAAATTAAATAATATTTTTGTTTTTATTGAGTTTTTGTATGTTACACTTCAGAGACGATTTTCAGATAGAAGGGCTCCAACTAAAAAAAAAAAAAAACATGATTTTGTTTCCTCAAAGCATTGTGCTTTTAACTGATATAATCACTAAACTCCTCATAATTGAAATTATAGAGTTTTCGTACAATTAGTTAGAGCAGGTAAATACATATGGAAAAAAAAAATTTCTGAGATGACTTTACTAAAAAAATGTATTTATAATAAGTTCCATCATTTGTAAATAGTTTCTGAAAATTTCATTAAAATCCGACAATTATTTTCATTTTTGCAAGATTTTCCAAATTAATGTGTGTCAAACGGGAAAAAAACGCTAAAATGTTTATACATTAATTTATCAGCCAAGCTGATAAAAAAGAGAAACAAGGTCTTTTAATCAAAATTTACAATGTTCTAAAAAAGAAGGAAAAATTTCAAAAATAAGTAAAAATACTTTGATCTTTCCTCTAAAAAGTAACATAAGCATTTAGACGCGAAAATTTTGTTTTCATCAACTTTATGCGTCTTTTTTAATCATGCTATGCTCTTTTTTTAGCGATCCAACAGAGATACCTAATTTAACAGCATTTAAAACATTTGTAAAGGAAGGGTTCTTACATAAGCAAGATTATGTTTTAAATATTTACAACAAGTTAATGAACAAAATGAATAAAAATTTGTCACATTAACAAAAGTATTTATTTTTTAACAAAAATTTAATTAAAAAGATGAAAAAATGTTTAATTAGGAATCATTCTGCTTATTTCTGCATCATTTGTAGATATAATTTTGTTATAATGGTAAAAATTAGGATCACTTTGCTAAAATAATGTCTAAATATGGATATATATATCATAGTAGTAGTAGTAGCAGCATATAAAACCAACCTAGAATTAAATTACTATTTGGTTGTGGTTTCATGCATGGCTTTTATTTTTAATACTTCTTGCATTTCGTAAAGAGTTAAATTTAACCAGAAGATTCTTGTTAGTTATGAAGTCTATCAAACATTTCTTCTTGACTAAGAAGGTGAAAGTAATAATTAGTCAAAATAATAAATTGTTGTGTACAACTTCAGTTTTGTCTGAATGTTGGAGTTGATTTCATTTTTCTTGTCACTTAATTATATGCTGAAAAAAATTATGAGTTAAAATGCATTTATTGTATTACTTTCAACAAGTAACTCAATACAGAAGGTAATCTGGTAAGTAATTCAGACATATTGCCTCTTGAGTTAGAGACACTCTGAAAGACAAAAGTTTTCAGTGTGAAAAACTTTGTATGTAGTGAAACTGACCAGATCAAAAAGTGTTATGTTATCATTGGTTAGGAAAGATAAATATTAAAATTTAAATTCCAAAAGATTAAAATTCTTTTAGAAATGGTTTCACATTTTAATGATTTACTGTGAAATATTTTAAAAAAGTATTTGCTCAGTTTAGACCTGCATCACAAAAAATTAGAATACCATGAAAGAGTTCCAATATTTTTATCACTTATTTAAAAAAATTAAAGCTGTATATATTTAAAACTCATTACAATTAAACTAAAATGTTTCAAACATGTTTTATTTTAATTTTGATAATTATGGCCTACATCTAAACAAGGAAACAAAACATATCTCAAAATATTATAATATTCCATTTCAAGTTAAAGTAAATCATGATTTATGCTGTATAGCTATGATAAATATCTCTGTTTGATTCAGTACATACAACCACAATCATTGAGAAGTCTACTGACTTGATAGTTATCTAGAAAACATTCATTGATATCCATTTTGTGGAGGGTAAGCCATAAAGGGCGGTGCCTGTTTGTAGAATGCTGAACCAAAACATATTTATGGAAAGTTGAAGACAAAAAGGGTGGTAGGAAAAGATGTACAAGCAAAAGGGATGATCTTTGAATTGTGTGAGAGATGTCAAGTGACTCAAGAACTTGGAGGAGCTTCACAAAGAGTGGAATGAGATTAGTCATGGCATCAAGAGCCACCTAATATAAACATATGCAGGAAATGGGTTACAAGTATCACATTGATAATGACAAGACACTCTGAAAGCGTCTTACCTGGGCTAAGGATAAAAAGAAATTTACACCATGGTTCAAAGTCTTGTTTTCAGATGAAAGTAAATTTTCCACTTGATTAGGAAATCAGAGCCTCAAAGTCTGAAGAAAGAGTGGAGAGACACAGAATCCAAGTTTGTTTGTCGTCCAATGTGAAGTTTTCAGTTGTTGATAATTTGGGGAGCCATGTCATCTGCTAGGGTTGGTTTACTGTTTTTATCAACACATTTGTCTACCAGGAGATTTTAGAAAATTTCATGCTTTATGGAGATGCTGATTTCTTTTTACAGTAGGACTTGGCACCTGCTCACAGTGCCCAAACCAGTAGTAACTAGTTTGCTGGCTATGATATTACTTTGCTTGATTGACCAGCCAACTTGCCTGACATGGATCCCATAAAAAATCTGTGGAATATTGTCAAGAGGAAGATGAGAGATAGCAGGTTCAACAATACAGATAAGGTAAAGACCCCTATCAAAATAACCTGGGATTTTATAAAAGGTCAAAAGTGTTATAGTCTGATTGCTCCATACCATGCTGCATTGATACAGTAATTTGTGTAGAAGGTGTCCCAAGTACATAAATAAACATACTTTTGAGAAGTATTATAAATACTTTTTATTTGAATTAATCTTATGAAATATTTTAATATTTTGAGATGATGGATTTTGATTTGCATGAGTCATAATCACAAAAAATAAAACAAAAACAGACTTGGAATATTTTACTTTATGTGTAAAGAATCTAGAATATATGAAAGTTTCACTTTCTGATTTAAATTAGGAAAAACAAGGAACATTCTATGACTAATTTTTTTATATGCATCTGTATAAATATCCTGAAATTGAACTTTGAATCCTTTCTGTTGGCCTAGAAAAGCTTACATGACATCACAAACAATTTCTGCTTTCATTAATTTTGACCATTCCTACCTCTCTCCAAACACACAGAGAGTGAACGTAAAAAGCAAAAGAGGAAATTGCTCTCTTTCCATTGTGTAGACAAGTAATTAACCTATAAAAGAATAGTTTCAACAGGAAATCACAAAGCTTGATGGTTCTTATTACCTTTTGCTTTATGCATTTAAGAAAATTCTACAATAACAGTTATTTTCTGTATTTTTACTAGTACAATATCTATCAGAAAATGGTAAGATTATGTGTATATTGTTCCTCTTCATGCATGTTTCGGTTTTCAGGCAGTTCATGGCC